CAACGCCTCACAAAATGGCGGAGACTGCACAACGACACGGTTATAGAGTCGGCCTCTTTAAACTTACTTGGCGTTGCTTAGCGTGTAATATCACCCTCGAATCCCGCCGATCGCCATTCATCGAGGAGGAAGACGGACCGCGAATCCACAGGAACTTCCTGGCTGACGTCAGTCTTTCGGCGTGTCACTCCCCCCCCTCGGTGAATGCGATCCCAGGGAACCGGCATAGAAGGACCAATTAATGATAGGTTTGTAGCTTGAACCCATCCGCTGGAACGTTGAAGACAATATAATTACACTGCAAAGCAAGACACAAGTAGGCAAGCTTCTTCATGTTTCTCGTGCACGGGAGAGAACCGGACAGGCACCGTTCCTTCGCTTGACCCCAGTTGCTCTCGTCCGTCTCTCCCGTACCACTGTCCTTTTATTGAGGTTACATGAATATGCATAGGTTCATTAACATATGACGTCTACATACACACAAAGAGTACCTTGCCTGTGTGTGTGTGTGTGTGTGTGTGTGTGTGTGTGTGTGTGGGTGTGTGTGTGTGTGTGTGTGTGTGTGTGTGTGTGTGTGTGTGGACTGCTGATCAAAGGGTCAAACATCCTTGGTCAGGAAGAGGGTAGCCTCCCCCTCACCCTAGATGGTTCATCCTAGATAACACGGTGAGGAAGTCCTGCAGTTCATCTAAACAAAGAACACTTAGACTAGAACAGACGCAACTACGTTGATCCTGCCGTAAAACAATAAGACACGGTATGACCTCTCATGCTCCCAAAGTGCTGTCTAATACACACAAAGTTTGCAGACTATCAAGGATCAAAACCTCTACCAATCTACAACTAATTACAAAACTCTAAGCATATATAAGTAAATATTTCTAAGCATAAATGACAATCAACAATACAAACTCTAACAGAGGGGGAGAGAGAACATGACAAGCTGGGGAACGTAGATAAACATGACGGAATAAAACACAAGGAGGGGAAACAAGGCACATGAACACACCACTATACAAATCAGAGGGCAAAGACACAAAGGGAAATCTAATAAACAATACCAAACAGAATAATCTAGAAACCATAGAATAACAGTAACAAGTGGACTTAAACATAATACAGAATGACAAAAAAATCCATGAAAATCCAAAAAACTGGGTCAAAGGACCCAAGACCATGACAGTTAAATCATTGTAATTATAAATAGTATCCCAAGATCTAATATATAATTAAAACCTTGCATTGATGTGCATGTCTGTGGATGTTTTTCTACTCAAATGTTTTGAAGACCTGCTTGCTTTGAATGATCTATGCAGAAACTCAGTATTTGATGGATTTACCTCAAAAGGTTTCATTCTTTTCATTAAATTCATTTTAATTTAGTTGCTGACCTTTTGATAAAATGCTGTTACTAATTAAAATTACTCCTGTTCATAAAAAAGAAAAAAAAATTATGTAAAAATTTCATATTTAAATTCATATATACCCAAGTTTCTCATGTTTGATGTTTTTAAATGTGCACTAGTTGTCTCACACAAACATACATAGAATCACTTAGTTTTTAATGATTCAGCAAAACGTACGATGTTTGTTTATTTTCAAAGTTAAAATGGAAATGTGCTATTCCTCTCTGTTTTTAAAAAATGAAATGATTGGTTCCCTAAAAATGATTTGAAGCATATGCAACAATCTTTTTCAGTCTTAAACAGATCAAGTCATGCAGTGATGCCTACAGACTAATCCTGAAAGGAATCAGTGGTCAAAGCGTGGCTCTACTCAGACTTCCTGAATCTGTTCCAGAACATATAAAGACACAAAGACAGTGTGGCCTTAACTCTAATGTCAAGCTTTGGTTTATAGATAAGGTCTTTGGAAACTAATGAACTTCTCTTCAGTGGATGGAGTACAGGACTGAGGTAAAACACCTCGTCATTTCCACTTCAGACACCCCTATATGCCTTTACTTCCTGGATGACTCCTATGAACCAGTGAGTGTGTCAGTATGGAAATGTTGACTTTTCTACAGTGTGAAACATTCAGCTCACCCAGCTAAAGGACACTTTGTATTCAGTTTTGATTTGTTACTGAGCAGAATCTTGTGAAACAGGTTTCATTGCACTGATTCCACACCCAAGGACCCACTGAGGAGACTACAGTTAGAATGTACATTGAGAACAGAGAGATGTTGTCATTTATCTTACGAGAGTAAGTAAACTTTGGAATAAGTTCTGCTACATTATTTGGAATAATGAGCTCTTATTTTAAACCTACAGATACTCTCCTAAGTTAAAGAATACGTTTGAGGTACAATAGCTGCCATCTAGATAGTCCTGGAACTAAAAGCAGACTTTGCTTGTGCAGGTCGTTGTTGTTGTTGTTTTACTGTGAGATGTTTTAATAATTTCCCTACTGTAATGTTACTGTTGAATGTTATCTTGATTGTGGTGTTTCATTAGCGATCCAATAGTGTGTTTTTCAGTGCTGTGTCATATTACAGCTCAGAGAATGGTGTGTCACATATACTGTGTTGAATGTGAATCCAGTTTTGTAATTTTGCAATATTTGGAAAATACAGATATTTGTTGAAGAAGTACAGTCGGTACTTAGAACGTAGATAAACATGACGTTGTTACTAAAAGATTCTCATTGTTCGTAGTAAACAGTTCCAGTTATTTATTGGAAACATGTCAATTAATTTTGTCACACATGTTGTTGAGATATTTCAAACACAGAAAATGCTTTGTATGTCTTTTTTGTTGTTGTTGTTGTTGTTTTTTTAACAGAAAATTATTTGGATGATTTCATTTTTATATATCTATATTTCAGCTGAAGCAGCCACTGTGGCCAAATGTGAAAGTAGTGGGATAACACTAAATGTTGTCACATTGATTTATTTTCAACAATAGAAAGTAAATCAGTCAAGTGATTCAGTACAGTGAATATTGGGCCATTTGTCTGCAGACAAATGTGCAGAATTGCCTGCATCAATTAATAAGTTAGCAAGGTGTATGGGGCTGAAAGTCAGTTTTCAGTGCCATGATGGTGGCTTATAATAGCAATAATAATACATTAATGGCCACCAGATTGCCTAGCAACAGGATTGTTCACACACATTTTGAGCTAGCTTGATCTAACATGAGACGTGATTGATTAATAAATAAATATATAACAGTTTTAGGTAATCAGATGGGAAGCAGCTGTTTTATTTTGTGAAGAGTCCAGACTGCATGGTGGAGGCTCTGAGGTCAATATCAGAATAGTGTTGGAGTGACTCCACGCAATTAAAAAAATACAATAAAATCCCATTTTTCCTAGTCTCCTCAGTGATAATGTGCGAGGAGAACTGTGACAGAGAGAAAAATTCAGTCAAACAGATCAGTCAGAAGCTTGTTGTGATTGTATGTTTGAGTTTATATCAACATGGCTGCTGTTGTTGTCTTCATACATACAGGAATTAAAGTTGGATTGCAGCTGACAGTCTACCAAGATGTAGGGATGGGTATTGAAAACCGGTTCTTGTTGACAACCGGTTCTCATTGTTTCAATTCCTTGGAATTCTTTGCCATTTTTGCAAACAATTCACTTATCGACTCCAAATGACGTCACCACGTTGCGGAGCGTCATTTACCTGGCAGGAAACTTGGCACCTAAGCGGCTCAAACGCTCAAAAGTTTGGTTATGCTTTACGAGAATGGATGGCAACAGGGCAACTTGCAATGCTTGCAAAGTAGATATTTCATTTAAGGGAGGAAACACTACGAATATGCAAAAGCATTTGCTCACAAAACACACGATGACCTGAAATGAATGTCATGATTTTAATTCCGCTCCGGACTCGTGAATCTCAACACAGCAGCAGCGTGTCTCAGAAGTCTACATAAACTATTCATTTGACCTCTTGGCTTGGTTATGGTCTGTCAAGTATACGATAATAATCAAATCATAATAACTTATATAAAATCATCACCAATCAAATAAATTTTCCACAGGTGGATTCTAATCAAGCTGGGAAAGATTTGACGAACAATCAAGAGATGCACCAAAACAGGATTCACGTGAGCTCAATTTTTAGTGCTGATGCAAAGGTTGTACATACTCGCCTGTTAACAAATAAATTCATCCATTTTGGAATAAGGCTGTAACATGACAAGTTGTGGAACAAGTGAAGTGCTTTCAAATTTCAGGATGCTCTGTGTGTTTTTGTTTATTGCCTTACTGCTTATAAAACGTTTAAAATGAATTTCTATATATGTTTGAACAAAATACATTTGTCAGCAAAAGTCAATCTGTAGAGGAACAAATATTTATATGATGTGAGAATAACAAGACAAATACATGTACAGCAAACATATTAAATATCCGTTTATTATCTCCTCAACCTGCATTTTATGGTTATCTCTGTGTTGCAGCTCGACTCTGTGAAATAATGCTGAACTTCAGTTAAAGTCTACTTTAAATCTCAGAGGTTGATGCTGGATTGCAACAGACAGTTAAATAATCAATAAAATGTAATCATGTTTTTCTTTCCTTCCCTTTTCACTGTCCATGTTGAACAACACCACTTCACAAATTCAACATAACATCATCAAAGGTGCATAGTGTTCTACTAGAGAAGAGCGAGAGAGAGATAAAGTTTTCTTACTACAAGATTCCTGAGATATCCTATTTTGAGTATAATGTAAAATGATCCTGAGTCCAACTTTTCATTTTAGCACTGTGGCGTTAACAGACACAGCAGCACTTCCAAATCATATTTAGGATTTAAGATGACATAGCAGCAAGACACACCTTCATTGCATCTCCATTGAAAGTGGGGTATTCAAACTATTAACCAGTTTATAAATTGTGTTGATAGGACAGGAAAAAACAGACTTAATTAATAAATAGTTTCAGACTTTTCTTGAATGTTGTCACCATGTTTAGTACAGGAAGAAATGTTAAAAACTGGAAATTATGGTAAATGGCCTGTATTTATATAGCGCTTTACTAGTAAGTAAAAAGAAACAACAAACAACAAAATGACAACCACAGAAATGATAAACTCTTGCACTTTCCTTCAGAAAAGGAAAAAATGTTTTTTCTTCAGAATAACATGTTTTTATTATTATATTATATTTGCAATTATGTGTCAACACAGACTTCCTGATGTTTATATTTATGGGCAACGGGGTGGAGCTGTGGCCTCAGCTCTGACGTCAGACCGCTCCCATCTGAGAGAGCTGCACCTGATTTCAGTCACTGTGCTGGAGCCAGCAGATGAACTTTTTGCTTGTCTGGGGCATCCAAACTGTAGACTGGAGACACTCAGGTCAGTTAACTGAAACTGAATCTGTTGTTATTTATAAAGTTATTTCACTAATATGTAATCCAACTCCAGTAATGTAGGATGGAGGACAGGGATGCACCAATCCAACATATTTATATACATATTTAATATGGTACCTTGGCTTCACCACACCAAGACTTGGATTTTAGTAGGTGATTTTGGAGACTGTATAATGAATGTATGTGTATAAACAGTCAAGCCCATAATTATTTAGAGCACTCGTTGACTTAAAAGTTACCTTTGTTCAACCAGGTATTTTTCTTTAGTTGGATGTAACGTGAGTTAATAGTACATTGGTGAATGTTTTTTAAAACCAAGTCAAGCCACGCGGTCTTTCTTAATTTATTTTCTTAGAAGCCTCTGTCTCAAAATTTATGTGTGGACTCACGCTTAAATATTTATGCGCTTTTAGAATTCAAATCCACAAGGTTTTTTCTTTAGTTGCGAATCTGGTTTTATCGAAAGAACAGATAGCTTTTAGCATTTTATACTCAATTGATTATTAGGATATTATTACTATATTATTATGTACATAGTTATTGACTTAATTATTATATTATTATCACTTATGATGTATGTCAATAGTGAGGAAAAATCAAAGTGCACCAGGTTTTTCCAAAATTACTCATTACCTCATCTTGCAAATTCTAACAACCAAAACAAAAACTGTCACAGTCACTGGAAAATCCAAATGTCTTATCTTCCAAAATACGTAAAAATGTTCACGTGAATGTATACAGGGATAAGCATCGCTGATCGCAAATCTTGACTAGATTGGCCAAGACTAGCGCTGCTAATGCTTTCTTAAAATCTCTCCCTCTTGTCAATAATCAGTGGCTTCCTGCACGTAATGCAGATTCTCGTGGCAAAATCTGGGCTAAGAACCTTATGCCTCCTCAAGGCATCAAAGAGCTATTGCGTGTCGCCAGAAGAGTACTGCAGAAGAACTGTGTAACTTGTGGCATTCGTGTTAGGATAAAAGGTAACACGTATACTTCTAATAAAATAGTTTTTTAAAGTTTCGACAGTAACGGCTGTCACATGTTGCATAAAGGTACTCTTACTATTCAAAAAGGTACAAAGCTTTTTAGCACTGTGGAAACTCTCAGAGAAACATTGTTTGATAATCAATAAGAGTGATCACCGTGTGTTCTGGCCAGGTGTATGATGGTGTAGATGCTAACTGGAGGAGGTGAAAGTTTAAAGTAGATTCATCCGAGGATCACGCACCTCAAATTCCTAGGTGTATACATTCTGCTGATTGGCTTACCCTTGACTGGTATGTCTCAATTCTCCAACGGATAGCTTGTGACATTTCAGTCTTGTGCTGGGGTTATCTACACATTGAGGAATCGGCCTTAACTCGCGAAGTAGAAGGAAGCACAATCAAAAGGGATACAAACTTTTGCACTAATGCTCATGCATTCTGGACAAAATGAAGACAGAAAATTTACTGGTCTTGCTGTTGTTAGTCAGTGGTTTACTATGAATAGACAAAGAAGATACAGAAAAAAGAATCCAGTTATTCGAGCTAGCATGATACAGCTGTATTACAGTTTTCATACTCTTGGTCATAAAGACAAGAGAGATGGCAATTTCACAACTCCCAAAAGAACACCATCCCCACTTGTCAAAGACAACATTGTATGAACTAGGTGAAAATCAGGTACACTGTCTACTTTGGGGTGGGGTGATTGTCTCTTCACAGCCAGTGGAAACCCACCTGCCTGTGACTGCATGAACTTCTTAATATCTACAAGAGTTTAATACAATGGAACCACAACTCTAGTTGAAATGGTTATGTTAGTTTTGGTTATAGGTTGGGTTCTCTTGTAAGCTCAGCCAAAACACCTGCCATCCGTTCAACATGATGGAGTTTTTATTTTCGAACCAGTGGGAAATATGATGCATGACGATTTTTGTTTTTATATTTTTTACTCTCTCTTTCTCCAAACCATCTATTTCTCTGTTCCAAAATGTGAGCCTTGACAATAGCACGAGGAGCTCTTCTATGTTGTGCCATGCTGTTTCTATGGAGTGTGTGGACTTCTCCCAGTTATTGATAGAGATCTGAAGCAGTAAACACTAAATCATGTCACAGTCGCACAATATAGTTGGAGTTTGAACTGTTTAAAATGGGAGAGTTTGACTTTGAGGAATGAACGCAGTTTTTTGGTAAGGGTGTTACTAACAGAAGTTTGACAATACCACAGTGAGTTGCCCATGGTCCAACTTTTGTATAAATGAACACTTTGTAACTCACATGATTGTTATTCAGCTTTGAGAACGTCACTTTGTCAGAGAACAGCTGTGCTGCTCTGCTCAGTGCTCTGAAGTCCAACCCCCCCTATCTGAAACGTCTGGATCTAATAGGATGCAACCTGGAGGGCGCAGGGATGAAACAACTGTATTATTACCTGGAGAGTCCACACTGTAAACTACAGTTTAAAAGGTCAGTTTACTTGACTTAGATTATGAAGGAAAAATATTTCTTTGGTTTCTGTTTATCGGTGTCTGCAGAAAACAATATCACACATACAAAAAGAATACGGCTGTGCAGAAGGTTGACTTTGTGATGATCCACAGTAACAAAATAACAAAGTTACTGCACAATGCACATTTAAAGGTCTTGTGTCCTAACACTTTATGAACTTTTAATTTCACATGTCCCCAGAATCATTTTAAGTAGCAAGGTGACCTCACTCAGGTGGAATTCAGGCTTTATAAGGAGAGATAGAAGTGACACTGTAATTAAAACTAATCTGTCGCTTTTATTAGTCCTAAGGTACCGCAAAGGACGTTTACACAGCCATATCACGCCATTCAACACTTACTATATCAAACACTGGTCAGAATCTCTTGACCTACAGCCACTGGGCACTGACGACGACTGCTGAACTGCCACTCTGGCAACGGTAAGTCTTCCAACACAACGAGCCAGATGTCAAGCTTTCGGCTACGAGCTGAACTATGATTAAAGCGACTCAAGTCTGAACACGTCACTGGACCAACAGAAAGAGGAACGACAGTACAGATGCTGTTTTAACATTTGCATGCCAGTAGAAACGTCCTATCAATCTGTGGACTCAGCTCAACACTGGAATGGGCTCCACGTGGAAAGTTCTCATTGGCCAGTCATATCGCTAGGCAAAAGAAGGACTACATGCTGGCTACCGAGCTGAGACGACTTGTTCAAGGGAAACGTCTGAATCCGAGACCCGCGAGATCACTTCCACTAGGACACAGATAAGACAACACATAGTAAGTATCTTTGTGAATGACATGGCAGCTGTGTTAACTCCTTCGAGTAGGCCATGAACTCACTAACGAATACTGGAATGGACTCTCCGACGACTTCTTGCGAAATACACGGACATAAGTGGCTTTAATGCTTCAAATAGCTTATAGGCCATGGTTGACGATAAGAGTCAAATCAATATACCTTTGTTTGAACGGTAAGGTGGGGCTGTGATACATGTATTAAGCTGTCACTCACGAAATCAAATTATGATATGCTGAAAACATTGTTACTGAAAACAGATGAACTGTAAATGTGGCTGTATCAAAATAAAAAAAATTAGGAAATGTTATTTTTCTCACATTCACAATAGTAGGCTGCTCACTTCTTGTTGGACCTCCATCCTCCACAGGTTACACCAAGATGTTTATTTTGACTTTAGTGTCTTTTCTCACTTTGTTAACACAAAGATGTAACAATTCATTTTTCTGCTACCTGTTTTTGATCCTGTCTCCTCATTTTCCTGCAGAGTGACTTCAGTTTAGACACTGCACTGTGGTGAGTAATCTGTCTTTCTATATGGCATTTAAATTAATATTTACCCATATTTATCATGTTTGATGAGACATGTGCATTAGTTGTCTCACACAAAGCGCTTTACATATCCAGTCATCCACACACTGGTGATGGCAAGCTACATTGTAGCCACAGCCACCCTGGGGCGCACTGACAGAGGCGAGGCTGCCGGACACTGGCGCCACCGGGCCCTCTGACCACCACCAGTAGGCAACGGGTGAAGTGTCTCGCCCAAGGACACAACGACCGAGACTGTCCAAGCTGGGGCTCGAACCGGCAACCTTCCGATTACAAGGCGAACTCCCAACTCTTGAGCCAATCGACTCTATGACACGTTGTAATACACTTTTATCTGTCAATTTTACTGGGTGAACAATTTCTCATTGGTAGTTTGATTAAGTGATCCGGAGCGTATTTATTTCCAGTGCGCGCTGTCTAGAATATCATGTTCAGATGAAAGCAGTGTGCTCAGTACTTTGATTTAGATGGGATATGCATTTTTCTTTTGCAGTTTTAATAAGATATCTTGGTTACCAGTGCACTGGAGCGGACTCATGTTTGTAACTATTTTGAATCCGTAGCTCAGCAACAGTAAGCTACCATCAGATTACCTTTCAATGTTAAATCCGATGAGTTTTTGTTAAGCATTTAATCCTGTTTTACTACAGTTTGATCGCTCATATAACACTCCCGAGAGGCTTGCTGCACAGTGTGAATGATGTGTTCATACTCTGCTTCCTCAGATGCAGTGGGAAAATGCAGCATTGGCACGACCATTGTGGAGAATGAGATGAAGGTGCATTGTTAGTCATCCGTTCCTACCTCAAATGCTTCCCCGGCATACACCAAATGCTGCAAACTCATAAAAGCAGCACACAAAAACATAATATTCCAGAAACACGCTTTGCCGATCCGATCAGCTGTTCATAACACTTCCTACGTTGGAATAGACGTCAGCGACGAACTTTTGCATGTCCGCCATTACCTGCCCGAAACCGGAAGTGACGTCATTTTCGCGGAAATGTAGTTTTTTTACCTCAGGGCCTATACTCGTTTTTTAAAAGTTATGTTTGACTTTATGACTTTCTGTGTCGTTTTCTGGGATGCTTAGGACTCATATTGCACTGCTGGAAATAGTTTATTTTGATGCATATGCTGTTTTCCCCTTGGGCAACTTCTACCCTCAGCTCAGCTTCTACCATCGCTCACATTGGTTTGGCAGAGATTCCTTCCAGACTTCTTCCATTTAATGATGATGGCAACTTCTGTGCTCACTGGGACCTCCAGTGCTGCAGAAATTGTTCTGTACCCTTCCCCAGATTTTTGTTTACATGAAATTGTGTCTCAGAAGTCTACATAAACTATTCATTTGACCTCTTGGCTTGGTTATGGTCTGTCAAGTATACGATAATAATCAAATCATAATAACTTATATAAAATCATCACCAATCAAATAAATTTTCCACAGGTGGATTCTAATCAAGCTGGGAAAGATTTGACGAACAATCAAGAGATGCACCAAAACAGGATTCACGTGAGCTCAATTTTTAGTGCTGATGCAAAGGTTGTACATACTCGCATGTTAACAAATAAATTCATCCATTTTGGAATAAAGCTGTAACATGACAAGTTGTGGAACAAGTGAAGTGCTTTCAAATTTCAGGATGCTCTGTGTGTTTTTGTTTATTGCCTTACTGCTTATAAAACGTTTAAAATGAATTTCTATATATGTTTGAACAAAATACATTTGTCAGCAAAAGTCAATCTGTAGAGGAACAAATATTTATATGATGTGAGAATAACAAGACAAATACATGTACAGCAAACATATTAAATATCCGTTTATTATCTCCTCAACCTGCATTTTATAGGCGGTCTGGCGACAAGAAAACATATATAAAATACTTGTCACGACCAGTCTAGGTTAGTCTATCTCTAGGTAGGCTGTGCTGCGGCTGGGCATCGTGTGTGGGCAATGGTAATGCGGATTTCGTGTTGTTGCAAATTCCTCCTATATTTAGATGTCGCTGCCCTTTAACTTGACGTGTTAGGAAATAATCGATCTGATGAAAAACTTGTCAAGTTAAGAGTTCACTTTAGAGAATAAGAAAATTCAAGAAAGAGGATTTTGTGGATAATTAGCTGTGATTGAGACTTGCAACAGACAGTTAATAATCTTGAGAGTTCAATAAATTAATAATATTTAATACGATCTCTCTTTTTCTCTTTCACATTTCTAACTTCATTTTTTTTCAGATCCTTTTGGGTGTGCCTTATGGTCAACACTCCAATTGCCGATTGAAGTTTTGTTAACATTTGCAATTTCAGTAGCAGTGAAACTCTTCTAGCTTCATAGTCTGTCAAAGTTCCAAACCATAAACAATCGAAATGCGCTACGTAAAATCAGGATAGCACGGTCGTGTGTTATTGGTACCATTATTCAGCAGTGATTCCCAGCCCTGCTCACTGGCTGCGCTGCTGTAACAGCAACCGAGGTCCTCTGAATAATATATATACTTAGTTTATATTTAAATGTGACTAAACATTGGACAGAAGCAGAGTCTCACACGGTGAACTTCTCGAAGGGCCTCAGACAATGAGCCGAGGCAGACCGAGAGAACGCTGTAAAAATGCTGTAAAAACTAAAGTGCCTTCAAACATCAGAAAATACATGACATGACCGGGCGTGTCCACAGCTGTAAAAATAAATGCTTCAAACCAGACATAAACAAACTGTCAGCTGTAATAAAGAGAAGAGCCGCTCAGCTGCTGGAAGCTGCCGCAGCTCAAACACATACAGATGGAAAGAGAGCGAGGCGTTTTATCTGCTGAGCATGTTGAGATTTAGGACATTTATGTTTAACTTAACAGGTACTTGGAGGGATGTTTTTATTGATAAACCGAGACGAATACCTCAATCCTTGACTTGTGGAGATGTGTTTTTTGAGCCATCATGATATCAGTTAAGAAAAGAAAAGCAGTTTGATTTTGGACATCATGTGTCAAGTTACGCCACAAATGTCAGAAATCAAATTGCTTTTCTTAACTCGGACATAGTAACAAAACATTAGTCAGGCCTGTGCAGCATTTTAGGCAGAACTTTGCAAAACACAAAATAAGAGACAAACACCTACCACCAGCAATCACAAACTCAATTCTATACCAGGTTTCAGTAAATAAGAAGACCCCACAAACACAGAACAAGATAACTCGAAAACGCCACAAAACATCAAAGCAATACAAACTCAATTCTATACCAGGTTTCAGTAAAGTTAAAAAGGGCCTGCAGACAAAGAAATAAGTGTGTAATACGAATTCCAATGAAATAAACAAGACAAAGGCCAGACATAAATTGAAGGCAAGGTTATACAAACAGAACTAGAATGAAATAAAAATAATAATAATAATTGAAAAGCGTAAAAACAATTTACTTAAATTTAAAAAAAAAAGGCAAATCATCTTTCCCCGACACAACAAGGTGTTGGTTTAATGAGGCAACACAACACGCATTTAATTGAAGAGGTTTCATTTAATAAGTGCTAGCTGTGGGAAAGTAATATGATGCTTAAACATGTAAAAATGCATATAGAGGAACCACACAAAGCATAAAGATCATGCCTAAACACATTTAATACCGAGTCTGTCTGAATTCAGCTAAACTGTTTTGACAAAATGCTGCTAATAGAACGGAAAGGAAGCACCTATAGACTGCGTGCAATGCGCGACTAAACACATTTAATCCCCTTGATGCCGTGTAGAAAGCTAAAGCCATCCGTCGTTCATAAGTTTACCAGTTCTCGAGTCTGACTAATCGTTGAATCGTTCAGATACTTAAAAATGTTTTGAAACTCAAAACATGATGCTAAATAGAACGCGAAATGGAGCAACCGTCCGCTCTTCTTACCTCCCGACTCTAAAAACAATTAATTTATTTCTCTGCCTCACTGAATTTATAATCAATTGATACATAATCCACATGCATGCTACGAGGAGTCCGTCGTTTGTGCAAGCAGCTGACGACCCAATATGCAACATCTTCACCCTTTTAAGCTTATCTACAACATATAAAATATCCTGGGCGTGCAAATCAGGCTTCAACCTCCAACTATTGTAATATTAGTCGCTAAGTGCCGAGAAAATAATTTCCTGGCTACAGCGGCCGTGTAACATGTATCTCCAGGCTTCAACTTCTACATATCACGGCTGAACAATGGCGTGATGCGTGTGTGTGTATACATAGCTTCAGATGGAGTGTGTGTGTGTGTTTGTGTGTGTGGGTGGGTGGGTGTGTTGGTGTGTGATTCTCAGTCAGCTGCAGACAGCAGTGTGTCTGAGCTCTCATGTTTATCAAAGAGAAGCAGTTATATCTAAGAGCCCTGGATGGCCTTGTGCTGCCAAAGCCAATCACAGTTACATGCGATTATTTGTGTGCGTGCGTGCGTGTGTGTGTGTGTGTGTGTGTGTGCATGTGTGTTTGTATGAGGGGAAACAAGCTTATTATTTCACTGAGAGGTGAGGTGGCATAAGTAAAATTAGGGGCAACATGCTCAAAGTGTGTGTATGACTATTTCTGCAAACATGTGATACAAAATGATGAAGGCACAGTATGTGATAGTGTTCTGTTTCTGTTAAAGAGTTCAATGTTGGATGAATATATTATTAGTAAGTATTTGATTTATGGTGACTTCCAGTAGCAACATGTTGATGTACATATGGGAACAAGTTAATATTCCAGCACCCACTACCACCCAACACAAACACCCTCATTACAAGAACAGCACACACTACAACCCATCTTAACATCCAACACCCATCACCATAAGAACCAAAAAGAACAAACAACACCATCACCGACCACAAACCCACAACAACACCACTATATCGAACTTAGACCACTGCACAAACCCATCTAAACGCACACAACAACACTACTAAACTTCATGAGTGTATGCACTCACTCCAAGAACCGTATAATTATAAATATGAGCGTGGTGAAAGTTGGGCAGCACGCTAACGTATTTTGTCCCTCTGTGTGCTCGTAAGGGTCTGACCCTTTCACTGGTTTGATTTTTTTCCTCGTATCTTTTCTTTGACTTTTCATCAAGTCTGTCTTTGTACGGACCGGCATTGTTCTCCTTCGTT